ACATGCATTCTAGATGGTCCCCTGGCCCCACATACAAGCAGAATGATGCTTTTGTGGGCCAGCTCTTTATCTTGTATGACTTGATCTGAAAATAAAAATTGAATTGAATTGAATTGGTCTAATTTAATAAGGTCATTGCTACGGGTCGTTAGAAAAAAATTATTCGTAAATTATAAAATGGCTTAATGCAGCTGCATTTACAAAAGTGTAATTTGTGCGGTGATATTAATTTAGATTTCACCTAAGAGGGTTATGTTACTAAAAAAATATTGTAATTATAGTGTAAAAGACATGCTTTCGCGTTATTTAAGAAATAAATTAATTGAAAAGAACTCAAGTTGGAAGACTATAAAAAAAGCATCATCGCACAATTTCATTATTTTCGATTAAAACTAAAAAAAAAAAACAAAAAAAACGTGTTAATATTGTCCAAGCCAAACTTCAGAAATCACCTGAAGGGCATCGATACTTGTGAAAAAATATGAAGATAGAACAAAGCCCTTGAAGGATGTGTATTCCTGTTGCATGTTCATAGGAAATTATGACTTCATATATTCTTCCCTATTTGAAAATGAAAACGAGCAATAATATTTTGCAAAAAGCTGGGTGGGTATGTCTAGACATCAGAGAAATCATTTTCTCAAAAATTACTTTTCCGCGATTTTTAGTATTTAAAGACCAGCGTCCCACCTTAAATAGTTCGTAAGCGAGAGTAAAAAGTTACTCTGACCCACTTAGCTTTCCCCGATATTTGCCACCATTTCTGAAATATAACTGATGCATCCTCGAATAGCGCTGAGACAATGCATCCCAATTAAACGTATCACTGTATAGGGGAATGAAATGGCATCGTGAAAGAGTGTGATTAAAAATTTATTTTAAAAGTGCGTCTAATAAAATTTTACGAAAGAATTACACATAAAATAAAACACAAGCAGCACAGCAAACAGAGAGCAAAACGGAAGATGTGCTGTTCGAGTTTAGTCCTTTATATGTAATTATTTCGTATTTTTTATCCAATACCAGCGCGCTCTCTAAAAGAACATCAAAGTACATTTTATTTATAGTAATTTACTTCAAGAACATCGTGTCCTGTCCTGTATACTTACTACTTTATTTGAAGTACCTAAACACTAATTCACTTTGTACTTTTCTTCAGGTACATTTTAGATGTACTTTACCCAACGCAGCATCAGTGAAACATATTTCGGATGAAAAGAATACATTTTAATTTATGCATGTATGTGTTTTGGTATCAACCCGTACAGTCACCGAAAGATTAACGAACCCGGGCAGTGGTGGGCTTCGATTTTTTTGTTGTCGACTGCACTGAGAGCGCCGAGGAACCAGTCACAAAGCAGGAAATGTGAATGTAATATCCCACACCCCGCGTTTCTTAGGCTGGCAGTAATTAAAACGAGGGAAATAATTGGCATCGTTCGCACGAAGCCCTTTGTTTTCACTTGAAAACATAGACGTGCTTACGTCCTTGAGGCTTCTCCAATAAAAAAAAGAAGAGCCCCTTCCCCCGATGACGTTGACGTAGACCGCTGAAGACTACGGGACGCGTTGAAATCGGATACGTGACGGCGCTTGGAGCGTACATGGCGATCAGCCCTTGCGAAGAGCAGAGTGCGTCAAGCATACCGAAAAGGAAGCCCACGATTGGGCGAAGACTCTTGTTCATTGGCCCAGCCAGATTTAATCAGGAAACCTCAATTCCCGAGACACGAATTGGGCAGTCTCTGGCAATCCGGTTTCGGTAGCCTCTTGTCAGGCGTTTCTTGCTCGTGGTGACATGGCTTTTCAGCCCGGGTTATAATCGAGAAGGCGACGGCCCCTCAAAGCACATGACTTGACGCGTCACTCTTTGGGAGTCCCCAGGTAAGTTTCATAGTTTCGTACTCATACGTCGTATGAATAGCAAGGCGTCCTTTTCTCAACTTTATTTGTTTATGTCAAAGGAGCTACTACTGATGCCATGGATTGAATAGTAAAAAAACGAACAAGAAGAAAACAAACAAAATAAGTTTTGCAATAATCAATTTTATTATCAACAAAAATGACTACTCATGTCTAATTTTTGTGTTCAGGGCTGCGTAAAATACTGTATTTTAAGCCTTTAAATATGACATAGGCATTTAAAGTGCGTTTTCGGAACTTGCAAATGTTTGTTGTTTTCCATCCTGTAGACCATATCGCAGGGTACGGACACGAGAAATTAAAAAAAAGAAAAGGTTTGTGGTTATCAAGACGTACAATTTAGACTTCTAGCGCCCAGCCATAATGCAGTGGTTTGCCGAGCCAGGACGGCATCGGAGTAATGTGTTGCTGACCGAGTTCCTAGTTGAGGAATTTAAATCGTAGCCATAGTCCCTGGCTCTTTACGAATTAGGCGCAGTCTAGGATGTACTAATAAAATTGCTCTAATTAATTTAACAAGGCCCGTTAATAGTTTTCATATTAGGGTTCGAGAAAATATGAACGAAGTGCACCGTGTTTGGCCACGATCCTGGCGCGTTTAGACTCTCATTCGCAAACATATGAACACAAATCTTGCTAAGTATATTAGAGCTGTCGTCCAAGATATTGAACCAAGAAAGTTCAAAGACCGCCATCGAGCAGCAAAGCAGGCTCCCGAGTGAATAACTGGTGGATAATCATTAACACACAGCTCTCTTTGTTAATATAATTAGGATTAAAAGACAACGCTGTTAATTTTGCAGATAAATACCCACTTAAGCCAAGAAGACTTGCGCGGGCCGTGGATATTGCTGTTGAAGGAGACAAGTAATCTAGCGAGAATACTTATTTTGTATGCTAAAAGAATTTCACAATCTAAAAGAGAACATTGCTTTAGAGAAAGTTTATATCGTTGCCAGTATTCGCAGCGGCCAAATCACAAGAAACAAGAAAAACACGCACCTGCAGATACTAAAGATTTGTATCGAGGTAGGTATTTTATGAGCGACGTAGACATTGAGATATCAAGGGACCTTGGGATTAGTAACTCCAGCCTCGGCAGCTTTAAGAGCTTCATAACTACACCGATAGTGCGAACACTAGAAGTGCCGCCTAAACCGGGTCTACAGAACGCTATATCTGACCTATGCACAATACACGGCGTACTCCGCACATCAGCGAATTGACCAGTGGATATGGATGGCTGTGCGTGTAGTGTACGTATAGGAGCGGCCAAACGTAGACGAGTTTTGCTTTTACCGCAAAAAATAAAACTTTGTAAATGCAATAATTAATTGGAGAATCACTAGGCCACGACAGGATTGAGAACGCACGTCCAATGCTCCTCCGACGGCAGGCCATTTTGCACGTGGCTTTCCTGAGTCTACAAGGCTGAGAAGATACGGCCATCCCCCGCGATAACGGGACGACGAAGGCGCTTGTTTTCGCCATATTCTATTATCTCTTTTGTTCTCACAAAGTATACCCTTTTTTATATCCGACGTGGGCACAAAATGAAACCTCATTGTAAGCGCTGTCACAGGAAGTGAATGCGCCTAAGCGGAATGATAAGCTAGGAAGTGTTTCTAGCTCCAAGTAGAGGCAGCTCGACGTACCAGCTTCGCCTCCAAGGCGCCACTGCCGAGAGATTCAAGATATCTGTATCATTCATTTGATGTCCCGTCGGAGTTTCCCTTTAGCTGTTTTGGCATTCAGTTTCAATGAGAGGTAGCCTATTTTAATGAGCGTGACATGTAATAGGAGGATGTGCCATCGATATGGGTGCAGAGCAATATAAAAAAAAGGTTTGTGGTGATTAAAGACTTGAGCGTGTTGGTGATCTACATTGACTTAAAACGAAAGAAACAGAGAAGAGGACGAAACAGACGACACAGCTTTCGTCTGTTTCGTCCTCTTGTGTGTTTCTTTCGTTTTAAGTCAAGGTTTGTGGTTATTTGGAAATCCGGTTGAATATATTGTTAGGTGTATATAACGTAAAAAGTACGAAGCCTTTAGATCAAAACGAAACGAAAAAGTTTAATATGATTTGATTGAAACGCTGATCTGTAAAGTAACAATCTTTACCGCTTTAAAACATAAAAAATAAATGAATTTCCGTGAAAATGGATTTTCTCTTCTGACGTTGGGTTTTGCACCGCACAAAGACGCGCGATTTTTAGTATGGTGCTGAAGATGGGGTGTGCAATCGAGGCCCCATTTCTCAGTCGCCATTGATTTTCTGGCCAAAATACGTCAAAATTTGTCAACAGACTAAGCTGAGTCTCAGAAGCAAATAACATGTAAATTACACAGAGTGTCATTGAGAATATGCGGAGAGAACGCGATCAGCTCCGGTGCCGTTCATTCTCAGAAGAAATTATTCGTTCATTATTCGTAAAAAACTAAACTACAACAAAATAGGTTTTTTTTTTTCTTTGTTTTTTTCTAGGGGGGGGGGAGGTGGGGAAGGTGAACTGACATTTAGGTATAGGCCCATCAGCTTTTATGGAAAGAGACGTCAAGAGAACGAATCAGACAGTTTCACCTATTATGCAATTGGCGTCGTGGACGTCAAAGTACCATCTTTAGTTATTTTGACGGCAGACCTCGGTCTAAATAAATTGAATTATAGAGTTATTTACCATTTTTACGACGAAAGAGCTAAGAATAATGCTGTATAGACAACTTAACGGGTTCCACGATAAGGAACACCTAATTTCAAACGACACTTTATTCTGCACCAGCAGAAAATATTTTTGATGCTGTAATACTCAATGAAGATTGTCCTCCTGGTGTATTGAAAGAGATATAATATTAAAAATATATAGCAGGTGTAACCTAGAACGACACAACTGAGACATATTTAGACGGTTAAAATCGAAGTGAAGCAAATTCTCTCTATACCAGTGAGCATACAGTCACAGCTACAGAGGCATGGAAGCACACGTACGATTCTTTGTTTGAAGATCCCTTTGCTCGAAGCCTCCCTGACTTTGGACTGTTGCGACGATAAGGCACCCCAGCCGCGATAATGGAACAATCAAAAACGACGGAAAGCAGATTACCATTAGACAACCTCTGCTCGCTGATTTGCTCCCCTGCGTGCCAGAAACAAGGGGAAGCAAACCATCGCTAAACCAGATAGAAAGGGCAGAATCTGCCTGAAAAATACCGTACAAGTTTATCCTTTTCCAGATTCGCTGCACGCTCTACAGGCTTGGAAGATCATGGACTTTGAAGACGTACTGGAAGAAATCGGGGGCTATGGGAGGTTCCAGAAGATGCTAGTCTGGATTTACCTCGCACCGGCATCCATCCTCATGCCTGGTTACTTCATGAGCCAGATCTTCATGCTGTCTGCACCTCAGCATTCGTGCAAGGTGGCCGAACTGACGGATGTCTTCAATTTAACTCAACAAGAGGCTAATGTACTACACAAGAGTCTTGTGAGTAAGGACAACTGCGAGGTGTTTTCTTTGTCGGCCATAAACTCTAGCCTCATACGGGGTTTCCTCAACCACGGGGGAAACGACTCCGAAGCGTGGTTTGAATCGCAAGGACTGGAGAGGGTACCATGCACGGAATTCACGTACGACAACACCTTCTACGACAGCACGGCGTCCACGCAGGTACAGTGAAATTCTTTTTTCACGTTCTTCGTGGATTAGCTTTAGGAATTTAGCACCTACTTTATGTGGTTGTTTCCGATTGTGTCTATCTCTGGCGGAGACATCTATGTTTAGATGAGCGTATGTATATTTAGGCCATTTAGGCCAGTTGGTATTGCAAAATGTAAAAAGTAAATTACAAAATAACACTCACACATATACACACAAAGGTGGAAGAGAGAAACACACATCAAGTAAAAGCTTGCAGAAACTCTAAAAGGACCGCCGTCTAAGAAGTGAATTTTACGACACTAAGTATGAGCAGCTAGACGAACCTTCACAATAAACTATAAACCAACTATGCGAGCTCAGCAGTGGTGCCCTATGGCAATTGCGTAGTTGTAAGAGAAAACACCGAAATCCAAAAAAAAAGAAATATTGTTACTAAGGTTTTATAAAGGAATCATTGATGAAAGACAAGCATAAATATTATTTTAGCAATTCGTCTGCTTCACTGGAAAACCCTGTTACAACGTTCCTAACCCAGTAATTTTTTTATGGGTTGTGGTTTTTTGAGTTCATTAATGTAGCATCCCAAAAGAGCTTCCTGTCTTTGTCTATTGTGTGAATTGTCCCCTAGAAGCTTCTATTCTCTGTCACTTGTGCGATTGGGCCCCTTCGCCCGGGTTCGAGGTATGAACTTGTTTCGCGTTGTTCGAGTACTGTGTCACCCGCTCGCCCGAGTTTCGGGGTTGTTTCAATTTGTTATAGTGTGCCTGGGTCGTCGTGTTGGTTTTTTGTTTTTCAGATTCCCTTCTTAGCGTACGAACCTATTTAAGGCCGTGAAGCGTGAAATAAAGGTTAGCTTTGTTTGAAGATGTGTGCGTGTGCAGTCCTCCTCCCCACTCTCCGGTGTTAAAATAATATCCAAACTCAATCAGCTCCCATGCACCCTTGCTTTAACTTCATTACTTCAAGATAGGTTTCCTAGATTTATTTGTATAAGTACGTAGTCTGCTTGCCCCGAAATAGACTCCTAAAATGATAGAAATACACTTTGCGAACAGCACGCTTCTTAGCATGAACTATCGTTTTTCAGTGACTGAGAGTCCCCTTTGAATCCTTCGATGGGCGAATACTTTTTAGAAATGTCGTGCTTTCATATTTTAAAGTCCTCGTTTAGGGTTAGCGGAAGCGTTGTTTATGCGTGCTCATCTTTAAGTCAATTTGGTACTGGTTGGAACATTACTCGTTTTTATAAAAGGTCAAGAACATCATGCGCTCCTCAGCATAGCGATAGATAGCCCTATATCTGTTTTCTGAGATGTTATCTAGTGACCCCCAGTCACTAACTAGTTCACCGACCCTCTACTGGGTATTCGCGCTTGTGATATAGAACACGACACATCTTGAGAAGACAAAAAACTATTTTACATTTAATTGATTTTCATTTGTTCCCATAATTCTTGCGAGTTTCTCTGATCTAGCATAGGCTTGCAATTTACATTTATCACATTTCTATCACACGTGTTGTTTGCTACACAGTGAATTGCTTATTTTAATGTGAAAAAGGAATCGTCCATATACCTTGAAATGTTGATCATAAAAGTCCCTTATAAAGGCATCCCAGTAGCTTAGTATGAACGAGACCCGATAGTTTGTGGAATTGTCAGCCAAAGCAGTATAATAAAAATGACTTCATGAAACTCACAAATGCTCATGACAAGGTTTTTTTTATTATCCTGGAGATTGAGTCAAAAAATTAATTTTTTGGCAGATATTTAGGCACCGGGAAGCCAGTCTGCTTAAAAGTACGTCTGATATATTTTTTTTTGTGCACACGAAATGTTGCAAGGGCAGCATGTCAGTGATGAATCATCCAGCTTCTGACTTGTTAGGGATGGATCCTCGCAGTTCTAATTTGTAAAATTCGTTTCATCGATTACATGTCAAAAGCAAGACGACGGATAAACACAAAATGTATACGAATTCTAAGATTTTTACCGTATATTATTCTGTAAATATGTGTTTGTTCAACGCCCAAGTCATATCACATTCTACAGTAGTGGTATTTGGGCAAATTATGTTTTATACCCAGGTGCGATTTTTTGCAAACATAATGCCGAGGCGTGCAGTAGCACACGTTTATGGGTCGAGAACGGGTGCTGGATAGTAGGTTTGACGGGATATCTCACCAAAAACCAGCGAGCATTACTCTATACGACATTCCTTCTCTCTTCAATAAATCAGTTTCTAAAGAGATTTTGGCACTGTTTGTGCAATTATTTTGCAGTTGATTTTGTGATATTGTATCAGGAACCTATTTAGCCAAACTGAACATTTGTAATCATTTAAAAAAGGAATGAAAGCTGCTTACAACTTCCTGTAACACCGAATTAGAGCGCAGCTCTTGAGGAGGAAGAGGGAAGGGTACTGAGAAGAGCGTATACCCCTCCTCCCTACTCCCTCCTCTTCGCCTCCTCATCCTGCCTTGTACTCCTCCCTCCGAGCGGCGTCAGCGTCACCGTCATCGTCGGCGTAACCGTGAGGTCACGAGACCTTCGTGACGTCACGTGACCCTCATGACCTCACGGGGGTCACGTGACCTTACGGGTTTATAAGCAAATAAGATGAGGTGGGGGGAGGGGTATCAGGACAATGAAAGGTGTGCTGGGTGGCTGTCTTGAGGACCGCTTCACGCACGAGGCCGTGAAGGAAGCCTCCGGGTTGTTGTGGGGTCCCGGTGGGATGAGCCTACTGCCGAGGGCACGTAAGCGTCTCTGCACTCTCCGGTAGAGGAGGCCACACTGCCTTACGGAACGCTTGTGGCGCCGAGCAGTCCCATAAGAGATGGAGTAGATTGACTTGATGTCGGTCTTGATTGGAAGACAGGTTAAAAAGGCTGCAGTGCCTGTGCTGCATTTGCCACTCAAAGAACCCTCGCTTCACATGCGTAACTGCAGCTCTCGTTTGAATTGGTGGAGGAGTGACGGGCGCACAGCGCCCATAACTCCGGGGATGCGAACCATGAGGTTTGCTCAACGTTATCACCACCAGAATGCGTAGAAATTTAGCGCAAGTGAAGTACGTGCCATAATGCACGCGCTGGTGCAAGGTTCGACAGCTTTGGGGCTAAGAAGTAACAAGGCTCGAGGAGGCGAGGACCATTACTTATGAAATCACTCGTAGCATTTGTCTGCCTGTTGCGATCGTCCCGGACTATGTGCTCAATATTCGCCACGTGTGGAAGTATTTAATACAGATCTAGTGTCGGCACTAAGTTAAGGTTCCAGATAAACTAGAGATTGGTTCCGAGAGTGGAGCCGCTTATTTTATCATTTCCATCAGAAATCTTCACATCTGAGAACCGGTGTCGCTTCGAACACCATGGGCAGGGCCAGGGAAAAATCGTAATCGTCCCAGTCGTCACTTGTGGGTTTGTAGTGTTCAATTTAAGCAGTAAGGCAGGAATGAACTTTCGACCGCTGTAGTCGGGGTAGGGGGGAAACCTAATATGAGGATAGGATCATTAGCTTTAAAATTCAACTTCAGCCACGGTTAGATCTACCGCGAGCACCTGAATTATTGTGCGGTCTGCCGTGTCAGCATCCCCTCCGTGTCTATATAATTTCTTGCTCTGCTTGAAGTAGTTCAGAAAACGTAAAAAAATAAAAATAAAACTGCCTCTTTCCCGCACTATTGAGGACGTCCGTGGCAACACAGATATACTTTGTGTTGCACTGCGGCGATGCTGCACATAAAAATTGGCGCATATTTTGATCCTAGATGGACAGACACTGTCGCACGTAGTCTCTAAATAAAAGTCCTCCCAAAGTTATCCCTCCACACTCTAGAACAAATCTGTGACATCACTTTTCTTCAGAAAACGAGAAAACGAATCACAGTGAAAGATACCAGTATCCCAGAAAATGACGGAGTTTAGACTACGATTAAACCAAAAATGCGAATGGCGCAGCGAGAGTGAGCGTGATATTTTTCCTGCGCATTGCCTATGCGCTGATCGCATTCTTTTAGATCTAATCGTTAAGTTAACTTTGTAATTCGATGGGAACCTTATATTTTTCACCGCGATGGCTGCCTCCGCGTTCTACAGGAAAGTGGGCTCACATACTTTTTGAAAGTGCAGTGAGAGAGGAACTCGAAGTTGGTGTCCCTTGCGGACACGCACTCCAGCCTTGACCCCGATATTTTACGAAGTGAAGTGAACATGCTTGTCTTCTTCCCTCTCGCTTCCTGCATACTCTCCCACTACATGCGCGAGCTCACTCACCCAACACCTTGTAGATAAAAGTGAATTCGAGTACCGTTTTTTATACGTTTGGCTCCATTTTGAGGAATTACGTGAAGTGTCGACCTCGAGCCACCGGGACGTCAGTGCTTCGTACGTGGCTTGGCAACCAATTCAGCAAATAGCTTGGCACGCAGCATACGTAGCAGGAAAGTCCAGTCACTCGAGGTTGCAGAGTATGGTGTTTGTACGTTGGCGTTATAAAACTTTTACTCGTGTCCAGCGTCGCGCTCTCACAATTTTTCTTTCTCTCTCTCTTTCTCTCTCCCTCTCGATCTATTTCGCTCTCTTCCTCGCTCTCTCTATTATTCATAAAGTGGCCATGTTCCAAAATTTGCTCGATTGTAATCCAGAATAAGGGTTTTGGACCTTAACGTTATAAAACATTACCGCGTGCACCGTTCTTCATTCTGTGTTGTCGCCTGACAGAACCCGCCTGAGTAACTTGGATTCATTTCGGCAAGATTTGAAACACAGCCGTGATTCCACCGGGGGACGCAACTGGAATGAACTGGTTTACTATTTGGCACGCAGTCAACGTATTACGTAACTCTGATCTTCTGGTCTACTCTTTTGTACACAGTCAACGTAACTCGTAACTCGGATCTGCTGGTCTACTATTTGGTACACAGTTAACGTAACTCATAACTCGGGTCTACTGGTCTACTATTTTGTACACAGTCAACGTAACTCGTAGCTCGAATCTACTTGTCTACTATTTGTTACACAGTCAACGTAACGTAGTCAAGCGCTTTTGCGTGAATGAAGTTTATCAAAGTCATAGTGGTGGCATCTTTTCGTGGCCTTCTGGAGGACAGTGTGGCGCATAGGTTCGTCACGAATTCCGCGTCAGCGTTCGGCTTGGGCTCGTGTTCGGTCGGTAAAAACACGATCGAGTTCCATCCAAACGATTAGGCAGCACTCGGCTGACGGTCTTCCGTAGCAGGGGAGCGAAACCCGAAATTGGTTAGATCCAACAGTATAACACGTTCTGTGTTAAAAAAAAAAGAGAACAAAATTGTAAATATCAGGCTAATACAAGAAAAAAGTGCAGCGAATACGTTTAAAACAGATCCCCATAGTTCGAAGCTTTGCAAAAAGCGTAATAACCTGATTGATGGCCAATTAACTCCTATAATCTGACAGTGCCAGCACCAGGGTAACAGACAGGTTTAGACACGCAGGGCGTGGCGATACCCGAGCACCTTACTATTTCCCCGCAGTAAATCGAATTTCAGCATTCGCCGATAAGAAAGTTGAAGAACCAATCACGAAGCAAGGAGCTTGAACATATAAAGTCGCATCATGCGTTTCTTAAACTCTCAGTGACTATATGAGCATAAAAAATAAGTTGAAACGCCTGAAAAGCTTTTAATATTAATTAATAATAAATCTTTATTTTCTGTGCCTACAAACAACTTTTCCGTATACACTGTGGTGCACTAAAATACTAAAATACAAATGCCGCAAAAACTAAAATACTAAATACAAATATCACAAAAAATTTAATTAAGGTATCTTGGCGAAAGATATCCATCCACGAACAAGCAAGGTAAATTCTCGAAGACGCCTGAAAATGTCCAGGTGATGTTCCTCATTGAAGGCCAGTTGAATCGGTGACAAAGGGTATACAGGGGACATGCAAGATGGATAAAACGTAAATAAATTCCGGCTGGCCCTTGATGGAACATGAAAGTTTTAAAAGCTCCACAACCAAGTTTGACAAAGGGTAATACGTCCTACACTGCCCACTAAGAACTTCGATTGAGAAGCGGATTGCTCACTCCAAGGAAGGACACGTTCGCCCAAACATGGATGTATAAAAAAAAGTCCCACAGTCAGATCCGAGTACCAAGAGATACAAAATATACCTTGCATTGAGATGTAATTCGGACTGAAGAAGGAGCCTTGCGTTTTCTTTCCCAATAAATCACCGCACGCGCAGCTGAAAACTTCAACCAAATAGAGAATATGTTAAAGAATTGCTTTTTGTTTGTCTTACCTTATAAACTTTTATAATACGGGGATTGAGAAGTAAGTATTTCCATTTTGTTCGCATGTTTAACATTAAACTGTAGCTTTTGCTCTCAGTAATTCATCACGCACTGCGATATTTTAGCTTTTGTTAGATCATGCGAGGAATACGTCTGAGTATTGAATCTAACTGACATTTCATTCGCTACAGTGGGATCTCGTCTGCGACCGCGGCCATCTTCCAAGTCTCGTATTCACCTTAACCAGCGTTGGCAGTGCCTTGGGTACTCTCATATTTGGCGGACTATCGGACAGGTGGGTAATTTATTTTTATTACTTTATATTACACCAGTTCACCCTTGCGCTCGCAATACTTTGTGCAGTTGAACAGGTTTAATAATTTCCGCGATAAATTCCAAATTCGACTTGAGACACAATTTTATAATATAAATTTAAGCGACATGCTGGTGAGAATTTTAATAATGATATGGATATATATGTTTTTCATGTCGAAGACAAGCCTGGTTAAAATTTAGTATGTTAATGTGAACATTACTCTGACCGTTCGAAGAGCCGTGGGTACAAGCAGTACTTTGTTTGACCATAATTGTTCTACATCCTCTCCAAGTTCGACTTCATATGTAGATGTGAATAATTGTAAAACCAAAGATGGAATATAATGAGCTTTTGAGATACTTTTATATAAAATATTGTATTGATTTTGTTATGAAACAAAGGTCTCTAATGTTTGACACATTTTCAATGGTGACATGAAGGCAAAGTCGTCTTACAAAGAGAAGTACTGTATGTGCAAAAAAGAAAACGCATTTAGTGAAACAATTATATTTGAAAAGAACGTGTAATTTTTGTAAAGGAAATTTGTATCTAGCATGAACTGATTTTTATCCCCCTTCCCTTTTTATGGGATAAGCATATGAGATGAATGGAAATGTTTGCACAATTAAACTGTGTAAGCCAACAAAGTAGCAACAAAAGCGTTAATACATTTATGCCCCTTTCTTTAAACTGAATGCATTGCAAAGTTTCTTGCATAGTTTTCTTAACGTGACATTGAACACTAGCGCGTCGTTTTTATGTGTGCCTACATAGACTCTCTTTTACAGGATCGGGCGAAGACCTGCCTTCTTCGTAACGGTGATTGTTGCCGTTATTTTTGGAATATCATCAATCCTGGTGACGAACTTCATAGCATTTACCGTTCTGCGGTTCGTCACCGCCACAATAATGCCGCAAATATTTCAACTTCCGTACATAATACGTAAGTTTTATCATGAACTAGATTTTTACATAACTGCGGACACCCTATGTTGTGAAGATAATTATAAAATTATTTTGACCTTCAAAATTTTCACCCTTAAAATGTGTGAATATAAAGCTACAGTTGAAATAATGAAAAATTAAACATAACTATATAGCTTGCACCTTTATTGCGTTTTGGAATTATCAGAAATGTTTCTCATACTGCTTTTATCATTAGCGTTGGGGGATCGTGTCCTAATTTACATTTTTCGAAAAAAAGAATATTAAATGTTGTAAACCACGGTACGTCATGTCTAGAACCCTGAATTTACAAGTTTTCACTATGATTGCTTGATAACCAGTGACGAATATCCAGAGATGAGCGCAGTGTGTGTTGTAGGCGTCCCTGTTGCTCCCTACAATTATCTGTGTTATATTTGTTCCTTTTTTGTATCTTGTAGTTGATGTTTTCAGAAACCTAACCATCGTATAAAAACTCACTAGAGCTGCAAACTTAAGCGCTGCGTACGAGTGCCAGTAAGCGACATCTTAAGATAAAAGAATTCATATTTGCGAAATTTGTTCTTATCTAGTGCTAAAAAGTCTTCAACGCCATAAAAGTTAGCTGTCTGTTAAATTTATTATTTGTGAACATATTATTTTTAATATAACAAAATTGTGGCACCTCTACAAATAAAACTCAATTTAACAACTAACACTTCGGTTTTACCAAACATCAATGTCGGCAATGATCGAAAATATTTGTGACGTCAATTATCTGCCAGTGCTCGACATGTTTTCGTATTCTCCAGTTCTTTTCTTGCTGAAGACCGATGGGCGATAGATAGGGAGTCAGACAGCGCTTGGTCGTAAAAGGGGAGCGAGGGAGATAGTTAACGAGTGCGCCACAAAGTGGAAGGGGTTGGGGAAGTACACTTCCTCTAAGGTTAGCTTAGTTCTGTCATAGTTGCCTTGCAACGAGATGGGAATAGGCAAAATATTACCAAATATGTTTGTACTTACAAAGAAAACACTTGCCATTGGCTGTGAAATATTTACGCTACATATTATGTAGTGTTTAAATATCTTATATTAAGACAAATAGGTGTTCATCTTCATTTTTAATATTTATTTAATATTGGTGTTAAGATCACAATAAAGGTACTGAGTTTCAGCCTCGCATAGCGGTTTTTGAATAAACATGAATGTATATCCTTTTTTGTTAGTTGATTGTTTAAACGTCTTTATAGATATTGCCATGCTGGTTTTGAAGGAATAACTATTGCTCCGTTATCGTTTATGGAATATGGTTTGCCTTTATACTTGGCGCAAAACCCCGCAAATGGGCAGTTGTAGATCACATAAGCAAAATTTTTAATGTTTTTTTAAACTTCTTTTTTTCGGCCCAGAAAATTGAATAGGCGTACAGACTATAGTTCTTCATTACACATTTGAAAAGAAAAACGAATGAGCGTAAATGTTAACAATATACTGCAGCATACAAGGACGAAATGGTCATATTAAATAATCACCATAATACAACGCTTTAGCTGAATCGCGGAGAGCAATACGCCACACATCCGTAGTTTAGATGCCACGTGGATGTTTTTCGCGTCTAGGATATCTTAGTTCGTTATTCCCCTGAACAATGTCTTTATTACACCACCAGTCCTTTTTGTAGAAATCCTGGTATCTGTGATAGGAAGTGGCTTAAAAAAAATGTTTTGAACCGTTAAAAAAAAAGTAATCGGAAAAACAACTGCACTTCCTGCCATCTAAACAATGGGGAGATGTGTGATGTGTAGTGCACCCATCCCCCAAAGGTGTTTTGCGAAGAATATTTATAGATCTTCTAGGAAACCAGGTAGTTAGGCATCGACGCCAGGAGCTTTTTTTATAAAGCGGCTTCGTTGTTCAAGCGCACTTTGACTCTGACAAAGTGAACGAAAAGCTGTAGAAAACCCTTAGCTTAGAGCGTGAACTGTGTTAAGAATGTCGTAGCATAATAATAACTCATTGCTGGCATAATTATTATTAAAGTATTTCTCTAAACACTATATTTAAATTGTATATCAATCGGGAGAGGTTGGCTTCTTGCGTACCATGCTTCCACTAGCTCGTACATGACGTTAAAAATATCACATAGTGAATGCCCCATCTCGAGAATTGTGATATTTATTCTTGTTTGTTTATTTTTCTTATCTCACACGTGTGTTTACAATGTTTTGTTAGCCGGGATCAAGCAACTCCCCCTCCCCCCCCCCCTCCCCCCCCCCCCCCGGCGTTATATAGTTGTCAAGAGAAATGGTAGTGCACAAAGACCCATATTATATAGGTCCCATTTCAGTGCGAACACTTTTCTCGAACTGTTCAAAATATTGCAGAACTGGCGCACGGTTACGTGTACCACCAACGAAGCACTGTTCGACACCAACTCAAACAGCTGAGTTTGTTTCTTTTTTCTTTTTTGTTGCCACTTCCAGTGTTGGAGCTTGTGGGGCCGAAGTACAGGACGTCTATGCTTGGCATCGCGTGGATGGCCTGGACATTGGGACTCTGCGCGCTGCCACTGGCAGCCTACCTCTGCAGGACGTGGATTCTGCTCGGGCTGATATGCTCTGCGTGCGCCGCCCTCAACTTTTTATATTGGAAGTACGTTCCCCTGATACTGATTACAAGGGATAGCGGAACGTATGAATCAGGATTGCCAAACTAGCCTGTCGGCATAAGTCGAAAAAGCACAATGATTAGGTCAAATGCTTGATTACCACTTGCAACCCGTACTTGCGCGGGGGCCAACGGCCGCACTTTATACCAGCGTTTATGCACCTCCGCTGCTCTAGTAATCCTAGTTAGCCTCCTGAGAATATTCTCAAAATTAGGGACAGCTTTTAATAAACACAGGAAAAGCCGTGGAACTTCCTTCAATGAACGCAGGAGATATGAACTTTCGTGGTCAGTGAAATTGTGGATGTTGTTGACCTAAGGTTATTGGAAACGCTGGAAAATATTTGAGCGTTAAGTGACGAATGATGCATATATAATCGTTACATGTGGGTCCAATTTGTTTTGGCTAGCTTACTTTTAACAAAACCTTATTATACAACGACCATGTCCACGTGCTAGGGATAACTTTAACGTAGGCCGTCGAAAAAGTGCGAACACCTACCGAGGCATAAACCGCTATCACGCTTCCCAATTGCCTAGAGAGGGATATCAGAACTTCCCGGCACGCTTCCAGAGTTCTTAAGTGTGCCTTCTTTATTCACGCCAACAGCCGAGTCGAGCGCATCAGTATCAAGTTTCATTTTATTACAGTACTTAACAACGAGACACACACCGGATACAGACCAAAATGCCATACACACAGACGCAATGTCTTTCAGCTGCGCCTGCTCAAACGGGTGGTCAGTGATATGGTGCTCGATAATGAGAACGGTAGGGAGTCTCTTTCGGATGCTCAGAATTCGGTACGAGATCGTTTCTTTCTGTCGTGCTTTTTTGCGCGAGAGCTCTCACAACTCACGAGACAACAAAGTGTTCTGGCTCGTAACCGAATGGTCGCGGGTTCGAATCCTGCCTCTGCCTAAAATTCTTCTCAATTTTTCCTTAGGGCAAATGAATTAGTATATATAGTGAAATCATTGGAAACATGCGGCGACCTTTAATTGAGATTACATATCATGTTTTAATCACTTTCATCCCACGCGTGACATCACGTTTCACGTGAGATTTGCGAGTTGTCTGAAATTCCTGCGCTAAATCATATGGCTGTGAGGTCACGACCCTATCAACCAATCAGAATTTTCTCGTTCCACAAACGCCGACACCGACGCCGGATTTTCTGTGACACAAGCTCCTAAACGCTATCGCACTAAAATGAGGGTGAGTATTATAAGGGGTTCTCTCGTTAGTGGAAGGGACTGCCACTTTTCATCCCACAGATGAGGGAAGAAATCTCAAAGCGCGACCGAAGTCAGCGATGCAGTTTTTCAGAGATTTTTAGCGGTGTGCAACATGACCTAGAGATTGCGGTGTAGGCGGCAACGGCTAACATCCCCGGAGACACGATGTTTATGATGTAGTCAATGCACTCAGAAACAACTATCTCCCTAAGATATGTTTAATTTGTAAAAAAAGTAGGATTTATGACCTTAGGTATTTTATTTTGAAGATATCAAGTGATCCACCTTGTTGAAGTTAACCGAGAGTGCGTAAAATATTGGAATCTTTGTAGAAGAAAAAATGACACAGGAAATGAAACGTTCTCGAACATGATCAACATCCACCTGCTCATCTACATATTCACTGTATTTCTGATTAAGTGTTCATTGTCCTTTATACGTTTTATGCACTGAAAGCTAGTTTAGGAGTGAGAGCAAGGCCTTATGCACAGAGCCGTTTCCTCGCCTCGTCCCGGCGCCGGCGGGGAAGGCGCCGTTCCGAAAACCGGGCGGTGGAGTGTTCGTACCAGCGGCGACCGAGCTGCCGGCGGTTGTTACATGGATGGATGGATAGATGTTGGCGGCTGTATAGCCTCTATTTTGGGCTGTACCTTGTACCACTTCGCCTAGAAACCTTTCTGCACCTCTTTAAAAATTTTCGTAGAACTTGTGTACCCTGGTTGAGTACCACCATATAACCCACTAATTTTGTGAACAATTTCACACTTCTCTAGATCTCTACCACCAATCTTGTAACCATCTTTTTTTTTACTACCGATAACCAAATGTAGCGAAATATCGGTGTCGATCGGCGCCGTCACAACTTCTTTGTCTCTTGGAGCTTGCGTTTGGGTCGGCAATAACAATCTTTCATGTTTGTAAACAGTTAATTTTTTTCTACATCTCTAAACAAAAACGACATGATCACTTTTGAGAACGTTTTACATCTATCACTCGTTTTGCCACATTACGTCCCCGATGATCAACCACAGTATTTCCTCTCTTTGGCTGTTCTTTATTTAAATCGCATTTACGTCTATTGTAAAGGAACCGATGTGGTCCCATTATTTCGAGCAGCAGCTGAGCGGCTAATCCAAGTTTCTGTTTGACCGTTGTTGAAGAGCCGTAAACATTAAACAACGCGCGCGTCGTGCCGCTTCTTCTTGGAAAGAACTTCGTTGGATTCCTCGTCGTGGCACGGTACGGTCGATTCCCCCTCCCGGGACCCTGCCCATTGTCCCCCAACTTTTGAGAATTCGCCAGATGGAGCGAAAGTTTCTTTTTTTGGGATAGGTCGTCCCCTGTTGAGGCAGGACTCCGGCGCCGCCCGTCTCCCGTCAGCGCTGGAGACGTAGAACGTCGTCCTCCGTCTCCTTTCGGTTCCGGCGTCGCGATTTGGGGACCAAACCGGTCTGAAAACCCACTCCCTCGGCGGGAAGACCGCCTGGCGCTCCCGCCGGGACGGGGAAAAAAACAGCTGTGTGAATAGGCCTAAATAACCCTATGTTCACTGTCAAAATTTTAGTAATATGGTATGTTACGAGGTTGTCGTTATAAAAACAAGTTTTTCAGTAAAACGAAGTAGCTTAGAAAATTTGTTTATAAGCAGCGTGAAAAAATAATTGTGTAAAATAGAAACATAATGGTTATATAAAAAAAAAAAACATAATCCTGATAAATAAAATTTTTTTTCTGGCGGTTGATAGGAAATCTCGTCTTTATACATTTACATTTCTTGTACTGAAGCTAAGAGCATCTTCGCAGAGTAACGCTCAGCTAATTATCTTCACGGTAAACGCAACAGATCTTTGTTGTTTTTCCTTCCACAATGTGACAACGTAGCGCTTGTCTACCTTTTACTCATTATTTTATATATACCTATCTCTTCCCTTTTTTAGGCTTATACCGGAATCCCCTCGATGGCTACTGACTCAAAACCGCGTTAAAGAAGCCGTGGTCCTGCTGAACCGAATTGCCAAAACAAATGGTGTTGTTCCACCAGAACACCTGGAGACGAATTTAATGGTACATGCGTTTTTTGTCTAAATAATAAATGCAGCAAGGTTGTCTTCAATTCCATTTTTCTAGGAGTTGCAGTACACCGCAATTGTTTTAAAGAAGATTAAAGTGTATTGCCGCTGTCTAAGAAAAAAAAATTTAAGGTAACATTTGGCGAAGGGAATCAATACTTCGCTGAGGTGTTCGGTTACATTTTTGTTCAGACGACAATTAAACCAACTGGGTCAATAAAAGTGACGTCAATTAAAATATATATTAATCATTCCTAGCTGAGACAGAGCGGCGTAAGCATACAATCTTGATTAGAGAGTGAGTGTTATATCTTGCCTGTAATGTTTTGTTTTCTAAACAGTGGAACATTTAATAATATAGTTAAGGAACATTCACAATATCGACTGAAAACACCGCGAGAAATTATGTGATTTACAAACTCAAATAATTTTGCAAATATGTGGAATCTGGAAAGTCATCACGAAATCCAGCAAACTAGTTAGTTGTTATTGATTACGAACAAGTGACAATGAACCTTCTTGCTAGAAAAGAGTATTAAAATGCATTTGATTTAAGCATTTGATTTAAGGTTGAGAATGTAAAAATATATTTATCCACTCTTACAAGAGATAGTCTGGCTTTCACCTAAATTTGCACACACAAAAATATGAAAGTGAATTTAGAACTTTAATGACTAAACCGATGTGATCTGTTTGCTTCTCAGAAAGTTCAAAAGAAGCTGGAGGAAGAAAGGTCAGAGGCGGTGACATCAACAATGGATATTCTACGAATGTCAAAGATTAGAACCAATTTTCTTATCGTTACATTTTCTTGGTAAGTACAGCAGATGCAATACATCTAACGAAGCTAATTCAGCATGTGGCTCCAAATAGTGTCAGACGATTTAACACAAGGTTTTAAAAAGACAAATGTACAGAAATATATATATATCAAGGCGGCATGAAAATTACACACGATCGCACGTTCACATCACCACACAGTGACAAAAACCTGGAACTCGTGGAATGTTCGAGCCTTTGATGTTTTATTTATGACTAAAAAAACAAAATTATTAGTTAGATACCATCTAGAGCTTGCGACGATATAAACTTATGCCATAATATAGGTTCTAACTACACGCTTGTGCGTCATCACAGAAATTTAGTGAGGGTAATTGAACTCCTTGAACAGAAATAAAATACATGCCGGAGGTACCCTGACAATTTTATACACAAAACATGTTGAGCCTATACATTCCTGCGACATATTCCGCGTTGCAACGCTATGCTACATTTACTACGAAGTATAATGTATGGTGGAAGCTGCATGCATCTCTGAATAAGCAAGCATATGCAAGTAACTGCAGTCTCTGCACCAAACCTCAGACTGAAGTCCCCATGGTGGTGGTACATATCTATTTTGTACAGCTAGTTCACAGTTTTAGAGCGCAGCTCTTAGGCGCCCGTTCCCGGCTTGAGCGGCGTCGCCGTCGCCGTCGGCGTCGGCGTCGGCGTCGCCGTCGGCGTCGGCGTAACCGCAACCCTCGTAACCCTCGTGAGGGTTACGAGGGTTACGAGGGTTAATCTCATGAGGGTTACCCTCACGAGGATCACGAGGGCCACGAGGGTTACTTACCCTCGTAACCCTCACGAGGGTTACGAGGGTTAGTTACCCTCGAAAGGGTTACCTTCACGAGGGTTACCCTCACGAGGGTTACCCTCACGAGGGTTACTTACCCTCGTAACCCTCGCGAGGGTTACGAGGGTTAGTTACCCTCAAAAGGGTTACCTTCACGAGGGTTACCCTCACGAGGGTCACGAGGGTTATGAGAGTTACCCCCCCCCGAGGGTTACGAGAGTTACCCTCACGAGGGTCACGAGAGTTACATTCACGAGGGTCACGAGAGTTGCCCTCACAAGGGTTACTAGGGTTACCCTCACGAGGGTCACGATGGCTACCCAGGTCACGTGACCCCCCCCCCGAGGTCACGTGACCTGGGGATACCCCCCGAGGTCACGTGACCCTCCGTTGACGTCATCGCCACTGATGACGTCATCAGTGACGTCACTAATGACGTCACCGGCATCCGCATCGTCATCATCATCATCATCACTGATGGCGTCATCAGTGACGTCACTGATGACGTCATCGGCATCGTCACGTGGCCCCAGGTCACGTGACCCCCTTGACGTCACGTGACGCCCCAAGGTCACGTGACTCCCACAAGGTCACGTGACCCCCAAGGTCACGTGACCCCCCCCCCCCCCCCCCCGCCCTCCGAGGTCACTTGACCCACCCCCCAGTACTCTTCCCTCCTCCTCCTCAAGAGCTGCGCTCTAATTCGGCGTTACAGGGAGTTGTAAACGGCTTTCATTTTTTTTTAACTGGGGATAGTTTTTAGGGGAGCGTGTTTTTACCGAAAGTTTCATAACCGCATTGTTACCAAAAGAAAAAGGTCAGCTTGTCGTCAAAAAGGGGGATTTGTTCTGCGGTAAACCTGTTCTTAAGTCAACACACAAATGTTGACACTGTCTATTGGTCGCTGGGTGCGATATCTACAGGGTGTTTTTGAGAGTTGTTCGGCCGTAAAAAAATTATTCGTATTTGCAAACTATTAAACGAAGTGGACTGAAACTTTTTCAAAAAGGTGTCTTTAGATAATTTGTTCATCATACTAAAATTTGATGAGTGTGGAATCCAGGAAACAAGTTAAGCGTAAAAAAATCGTGTTTTCCCTACGCGCATTTAGGAAGACAGTAAAACCCGTCTGCTTGGCGCTGCTACTCATATATTGCATAGCATAGAACAGAAACATGAACGTTCCTTTGAGGTCAACAGCCTAAAGCAGATGTAACATTTTTCAGTATTTTTTTCATTTTTTCTGTAGTTGTCCTCCCAGTGCGTAGAAAAAAACAAAATAATATTTTAATATTTAAGACTGAATTTTTAATTAGCTGAAATTCTTGCTCACGAATATTGAGTGTAGTGAATGCACTACCTCAATACAACTATGTAAAATGTTTCGATGCATACTGTTCATTAGGATATTTGTGCAGCTTTTAATACCGAATCCCGAATCATGGGGTAATACTAATATATGCTTTGTGAATCTATTAAAAAAAAGACTTTATTTTTAGGGACCGTTAATAACTGCATAATTAGCAAAATATTACGTATTTACATTACTCATCAGCGAGTTAGATATTGCAATGCACCTATGAATACATTAGGGATAGCTTTTCGATAAAAATACCAAGGCTGGCCGCACTGCAAAATGTTAAGCTGCCTGCGAGGAAGCAATCATCTCGTTGTACGGTTATACATATCGGAATATTAACTTGTCTGATGATCGTTTTTGTTTTTGCATCTAAAGGATAGCCAACAGTTGTGCGTACTATGGCCTGAGCATCAACGTCACCAACATGAGCGGAAACGAGTTCATCAACTTCTTCCTTCTGGGCCTTGTTGAGTTTCCGGCCTGCGTCATTTCTTGGTGGTCCATGGAAAAGTTCGGCCGACGTTGGATGAACGTCTTTTTTCAGGCGATGGTCAGCTTCTCCTGTCTGGGGTTCTGCTTTGTTCCTCCAGGTGAGGTACCCATCACTTACATAAGCCTTTTAAAAGTGCATACAAGTTGGAGAGTGTCTGGTTTTATTGCAATTCTTGGATTCAGACTGAAACGCCTAGACTGCCTGCTTAAATCTATGCGGTTTCACCATATATATGTGTGAATGCACTAACACAAGCCTGGTTTATCATATCACCTAAGGCATGAGGGCAATCGGAGTATACGCCCCAAAACGGCACGCATTTGCCTTCCGCCGTACAGTCTACAAAAACATGATCAGTGTGAACCATAAAATCAGGCGATATAAGTGTTGTTGATCTTTGTAAAAATGCAATCATTAAAGCCCAAAACGTAAGTCTCTGCTTGAACATGAGCAAATGTCTGTTAGGCTTATTTTCGGGCTGAATTCACTGGGAGTTTTCTCAAGCGCTATAATCCTTTGAGTGTTTTCACCTTTTTGATTCGTATATAAATAAACGCACTGACTTTTTTGCGTGTGTAACATTTATGTTGTTTCCTCTACGTTGAAATTAAATGTTTTAAAGCTTTTTTGAAGTTGTTAACACACCGCATTATATCAAATTTGATTTAGAGCGCAGCTCTTAGGCGCCCGTTTCTCGCTTGAGCGGCGTCGGCGTCGGTGTCGGCATAACCGTGAGGTCACGTGACCCCCCCCCCCCCCCCTGAGGTCACGTGTCCCCCTGAGGTCCGTGACCCCCCTAGGTCACGTGACCCCCTGAGGCCACGTGACCCCCCTGAGGTCACGTGACCCCCCCCCCCCCCCCCATCCTGCTCCTCAGGAGCTGCGCTCCGGCGTTACAGGGAGTTGCAGACGGCTTTGATTTTTCTTATAGACTGATAATGCTACATCTGGGATCGCTGCTGCAAACATGATACTATTACCGTCGGATGTCATTAGTTATTTCAGGAGTTACCCCAGCGGTACGACCGGATTGTGTCTTCCTGGCAGTTTCCGCTCGGCAGGTACTTCCGCCTGACCATAGATGGAGCGGCTGCATACGGAAGGCCAGAGCCCTATATACTGGGAAGGTTTTGCCTCGCCCGCTAAAACAAGCGGACTCTACGATGACACAAAATTTAGAATTTTGGTTTTGGATACTCTGCTTACGAGCGCTAGTCCAAATGCGCGGTTAATATTTATTTTATAAATACAATGTCTAGTACTTTGACATTTTAGTATCCTGCAATCGGTCACTATATTCAAGCACTGGCCATCCTATATTGATCTCCAGAATCATAACTTTGACGTTGGTTTAATTTCTTTTGGTTTTAAATAAAATAAGGCTTTTTCAAACAAAAACCAACCTGGCTATTGAGCGTAAGAGTTCGCAGCGCCTCTTATAGTTGGCGCTCGTCACGACACTGAATTTCAGCGGTGGTAATATTTGAGACACAATACTCGAAGTATTCCAAATTAACTTTTCACAAAAGAGGGATAAGTTTAAGCTCATATAATATTAAGCGATCGTAGCAGTTAAGTAAGTTTGAGCTTGTGACTATGTTTGCAGAGCGAAAATCACTTACACTAGTGATAAACACTTTTAGAACAATGACCGTTCATAACATACCTTGTGTGCCTAATCTAGAGTGGGTTTGAAATTCGATAACACAAAATGGCGGAGGCAACGTGCCACCTCCTGGCGGTCCTAACTCCAATTGTGGTTGTTGGACTGTCGGCATCTTCAAAAGTGTGCCCAACACTCCCAGTATAAGGGGCTCTCTGGAAGACGATGATCTCCAGTTTGCATGGAACTTTGCGAAAGAGCGCAATGTGTCAGCAATGTTCTTTAATTAAAAAAAAACAATAACGAAATGTTAGAAAAAAAAACAATTACCACACGTTTTCTTATCTATATGTTTCTTAACTTTAATGCACTTTCCAAGTCGTGCGAGCGCCTTGCAATGCGAAGTCGTCTGCGAAACGTCTGACGCGATCTTTGCTATTAGCTTGCTTTGCTCCCGAACGCGCTTGGAGAAGACAAATACAACGCTACCAGACACTATTGGCGTTTCTCGTCGTGTTTTGGTGCGTGGGGACGGCCAATATTCTTGAGGTATGTGGTGTTACGTTTATGTTCGAACTGTCAGTCGGGTTGCGGCCCGAAGAAAAACTGGGTGATATTTCGGGTGACTGTCGTGCTGATAATAATGTGATCGCAATGTAGTGCCCCCCCCCCCCCCCACGGCGGACCCCATTCTTCAAATCATGTCGAACTAAAAAATAACTGGCTTGCACATAAACGGCGGAAACTTATAAGTTACATCACCGAACATATCTGCTGGTGGAGTGGAATCGATGCCGTCGAAGCACTCACGGCACGCCTCAGTTGACGTATTAGCTTGCCTTCATTTTGTCGCGCTGAGCGCTCCCTTGGTTATCTTAGCTTGTAATGCAAAACTACGAGCAAAACAGGACCTAAATATTAAATATTTTAGTTTGCTCGGTTAAACTTGCGTCGTTCATGCCTAGTTAACAAAATAAATCACCAGTGGCTCGCATTTTCTTCAAACTTAATGGGGATAATGTGTTTTACAGCGAAGCTGTATATGACTCGTAAATCGGCTTTCTTAAATTGCTTGTGCCGGCGTCCTCACAAAAAAAAGAGCCTTCAGCGAACGAAGCGAAATGTGCATATCACGGATACAACATACCCCAGCACAACATTCGTTTCAATAAAAAACAAGCTCATCACAAGCATCCAAACCACATATATGATGATAAGGCGCTCCTGATAACAATGCGAATCACGTAGCGCTCACCGCATACCTTTCCGGGCAAGGACTACTGTTGCGCAAGCTGCCACGGTGACGGCAGCTTGCGACGCGGGGAGTGGCGTCACTAGCCTTTCATATATCCAAAGTTTTGGCACAGCGCATTTACTTTTTTCCGTCATCATTTGATATATACCCTTTTGCTGTTTACAAACATGAACTGCCTCCTGCGTCCCAAGCGACTTCCGGTCGCACCGTCTTTGCAAGCCTGTCGAGCTTACTTACGTCACCAGTTTTTGAAATCATAAATGCTACATGTACACCAAAGTTGGAGATTTTACGAGAGCCCTCGGCTGGACAACCTAACGTCTTGGAGGAGGCAAGTTGGTTTACTCAAATATTCGAAAATTTCTAACAGATCTCGCTCTTCTTCGTTCTTTTGGCGTTCACCTGGAGAATTGGTGGTTAAACGTTTCATCGATATCTCAAGCCGCGGTGTTCGAGTGTACATTGTTCATTCCTTTTATGAGCCGGAAGTTCTCTAGGATGTAAAAGACTAGAGCCCCACCTGGTGACGTTTGCCATGAAGTGAGTCTGTAGTGGAGTGGGCAATCGTTGCAGGTGATACCAAAAGTTTCGCTGGCCGAGCAGCTTCACAGCGTGAATTAGAGCCCAAACTTTTTCGTGATGATGATGATGATGATGCTACTGATTTGAAGCTCTTATGTTTAAATCGGGCCGTCCAATGGTTATTGAGCCCTAGGTTGTGGGATTTATGTGGCCCCTTTTCTGAATCTTTAGCCACCAATTGTTTAGTCGCTTTTTGGGTTTTCCACCACTCGTTTGGTCCACCCTCCGTTGGCCTTCGGCGTTGCCTTAGCAGCGTTGACGTTGTTTCTGCATGTAGATGATACAGGCTCCGAAACTGGCTCAAGGCTTAGCGCCCCCGTCAGTGAGCGCTCCCGGGTCGTCTGCTTGCACCCCGCCGATGGTGACGGTGGCACTCACGCGCACAACAGTACGACATGTTCGAGGGCTTGAATTGATTTACGTGGCGCCATTTATGTTGAATGCTACAAACCTTCTTGAGGCAAGGACACAATCTGATCGCCCAATCGGGTCTCGTTTCCCCACCTGCCTATCTTACACGCTTCCCTACTCTTATATCGGTATTCACGCCATAGGTGTTGTACTTTTCGAGCTTTTTTGACAGAAGACAAAGGCGTTTCTTGCAAATCCGGAGCTTCAAACCTTAATACAATGAAAATGAGCAGCAGTCGGCAGCAGCGCAAGGGCTGCATGTGCTGGCCGAATAATTTTTTTTTACCAGTAGACTTAGAAAATCAACAGATATATTTTTGGAGCCTCCTTATGACCATTCGTCCTCAAGTCACCAAATGGCAGACATATGGGCTTAGTGTTTGTAGATCCTTAGCAGTGTGCGGCATTACAAAAAGAAATAACTATTAAAATCACTATTGACAAATGATACACCTGAAGCATCATTTGAGGAACCTGGAATAGCGAGAAATAAACAGTCCAATTAACCTTTCTACCAACAAATGGTTTACGTTTGCTTCGCTCCCTTATACTGTTAAGTCGGTAGTCAACCAACAAAACAAAACCACCGTCATAAACTCAGTTTCCATTGACATTGTGTATTTATGGTTCTTGAGAGTAGCACTGGTTCTACCCTTTGCTGGACAATAAAAGCAGACTAACTCGACCGGGATGACGACAGTTCGTTCTTTAATGCGGGATCACTCAAGAGCGTGGGTGTGTCTCAGTTCAAGAACGGCACCTACAAATGCACTCCTATTTTTATTTTGATTAATTAACGGGCAGAATAAAATTAACGTAGTTAAATAAATAGCTTTTTTCAGTTGATTATCCTATTCGAGAACGACACCCGCCTAACATTTCAGCCTATCCACCACGTGCTAATTATTTCAAGTTTTCGGTTTACCTTTGAAGATAATGCGATTGAACTTTCTTCATAAGTATATTACTAATCACGATATTGTGTTTCTTTGTTTTTGTGTTGTGTTCTGTATAAGTGTAAATTTGTGTATATTTTGAGGCTTTTCTTTTGTAGATTTTTCCATCATGCCACAATCCCGAAGAGGAAATCAGATGTACTGATAAGTAAATAAATAATAAAGAAATAGAGGGGAGAGGATTGAGGAAGTGCATTATCTCCCATCATTCTGACCGCTTCGTTTCCTAGCAAACGTTTCGGATTTACGCTTTTAGCTGAGTATTTTGTTTCCTTTAGCACATCCGTTTATCTGTCAGGTCTCTCTAGCAGCTTTTTTTTTATATCACTCCACTCTAGGACTCTTAGCGCATTCCTTTATATCGATCCGACTGTTGGTGACAACCGGACATACTCCTATTGTTTCTTTTATGTTCTCGCAATGTCGCCGCAGGTGCCGTGATTTCTGGAGTCGTTGTCTTGATGCTGGCCAAGTTCTCCTGCACGGCGTCGGCCATGGTGATGTACCAGCAGGCGTCCGAGGTCATGCCAACTCCCGTTCGCTCTTTCGCGTTGGGCGCATCGTCATCGCTAGCCTCATCGTTCAGTATCTGCATGCCGTACATAATATACCTGGTAAGTATTGTGCAGCCCTACGATTACTGAAAAGTATGAAGCGATGGAACTGAACTAACTTGATGTATAAGTTACATTTTTATTCTTTCCTAACTTTCTTAAGCACAATTTTGTTGTTAAGCACACTGAGTTACGCCACATAAAGCTGGACCTTTTTTATAGGTATGTTAAGGTATGTTTATAACAAAAGAGGCTACGATTTGCTTTCTAACATGGGAAAATGTTAAAGCTGGCTATGAACACTCCACCGTCACATAAAATATGAAAAGTAGATAACACGAAATCCTTGTTGTTGTTTTTTTTCAACAAATTATATTCCCCGCAAAGAGGTCGCAAGTCGAAAATAGCTTAATGTATCTTGCACAAATATTTTACTTAAGTAAAAAAAGGCACTAACACACACGGGAACGATATAATAACGGCGTCGAGGAAAAGTTTATTAGATTTTTTTTATCAATAACTGTGAGTGAGAAACAAGTAAACCGTGTTTTTGTTTGCTCAAAATTCAACTACACATCTGTCTTTACGCAAACATTGCGCTAACAGTTGTGACACGATGCTGAAGTATAATAGCTTAGCGTTATCTAATTTAAAAGTTAAAAGTGGGTTTTCAAAACTTTTGAATGAAAAGAATGGCGGCCTATAAATCCCGGGAATACATAGCGATGAATGGAGTCTGCCACAGGAAATGGGTTGCATTTATAAATTGCTTGCACACCGCGGCCAGTGGAATTCAAACCCGGTTTCTACGCGTGTAAGCCGTGCGCTTCGCACTAGGCTACGCAGGCGGCAGTACTTCTACTGAAGAGAATCTAGATTAACAGCAGTGGGTACTTACTGAGTATGACTGTGTTTGACAGGTTAATGGCACGCTTGAGTACCGAGAACGACATTTGATTATGAACATAGGTGACGTTATTAATGGTAGACAAGTAATACTACCGCATTTTGACTTAGTCTGAAGCGGAACATCGCAGAAACACAGCGTCGTTTTTTTCCTGCTAATAGTGCTCAGATACATCCTATCAATGAGGTGTCGGATCGCAAGTCGTGAACAGATAAAAACTCTACTTGGGAGATTCCTGAACCGCTTTTAAAAGGTCATAACTATGCACTCTAAAACGTCTGTGGACTTACTTTCCCGCCCAACACGGAGACAACTAATCACTGTGAAAAGTCAAAAGATCCCAACGGGTAACGGAGCTCAGAATACAATTATATCCGAATAATGCAATGTGCACAGGGACAATGAGCAACTGAAGTGTCATGCTTGTTGCCCCCCGCAAATCAGATTTTTTTTCCTAATCGTGTTTCGATCTCTTTTTTTATTTTAGGGGGATCATATGCTATTGCTTGCGCTTATTACCAGTCTGCGTGATCTGCATAAACGTTAACTCAGATATTTTTACTGCGATAGCAGTTATTGGGACACTTCGCGGGCTTCGCGCCGAAAACTGTGCTTCTTATCGACGCGGGCCATTCGCGGCGCTCCGCCAAAATATTCTACATCGACGCCACGCCGCTGTCGTCACGCCGCTCGACACGACACTGACGTCACGCCGTGTAACACGTCACCAGTTATCTGGCGTCAGCTGCCACCATGACATGACATTGTGATCTCAAGTCACGTTGCACACTGATGCCACGCGACTAAATGACCCCAGGTGACACCCTGAATCACGTGAAACATGACGTCGCGTGACACTGCGACGTCTCGCGACCATACGTCCTCACGTAACACCATGACGGCACGTAGAAACGTAAACATGATATAAAGATAATAGAAACAATAAAACCAAAGCGATTTCGCTAATTGTGCCAGAAGGGGTCTCGGGCTATAAAACCAATAAACGCAAGGTGGGTGTTAAGCCGGAAAACCCACGGGCGTTAAATTAGGTGAAGCTACGCGCTTTAAACTTGAGTGTTCTATTTTGGAAATGTTTTTCAATAACTACAAGGCGGTGGGTGCTAGTTTCCCTTCAATAACGTTGCATAACACATTCAGGCAGCCACTCCAACGATTGGGAACGGATCACACATACGCATGCAGTTTCTTCGTTCCCTGAATTTTAAACGTGGGCGCGCGTTTTCGAAGTGTTCTCCAAGTACCAAAGGACAATGTTAGTTTGTATGTATTAAACGTGTTTAGCAGGCTCACAAAATGCTTTCTACTTAATACACCTTTATTTTTATTGTTTTCATTTCATTTTATTTATTACTCCCTCAGGGCCCGAAGGCATTACAAAAGGGAGTGTGCGGTTAACACATAAAAATAACATAGTTGAGTGAGGAAAAAAAAAAAAAAAAGAAAAAACAGGCGCAACGCAACATCTGTTAAAAAGTTGGTAATAAAATTTTTAAAATCAACACTGTTAGTTATTGAGACCATATGTGGGCGGTAAGGCCATTCCAATCAATGGAGGTCTGGGTTAGAAAAGAGGTATTAAATGTGGAGGTGCTGTAATGGGGAATCTCTACCTTTAGGTCATGGTCTACACGTGTTGATATGTACGATGGTTCTAAAAACATTGCTTGACGGAGAGCGGGGTTAGAGTAATGAATCCTGTAAAATAAACATCGACGAGATTTTTTTTTTTTTTTGGAAAGAGAGATCAGGCAAGGAGAGGTATGATTTCATGGAAGTTACACTGGCTGTACGATGATAGTTCGAAAGTATGAAACAGACAGAACGATTCCGAATAGATTCGACAGCTGATGCAAGGGTGATACCAGGGTTCCAAATAGAAGCTGCATATTCAAGTTTAGGACGAACTAGGGTTTTATAGAGGAGAAGTTTTAACGTAAAAGGAGCCAGCGAAAAGTTACGTTTGATATAGCCCAAAAGTCTATTTGCGTTGTTAGTGACATATTTGACGTGGATATTCCAGGAGAGGTCGTTGGTTATGTGAACGCCGAGATATTCATAGGAGGATGCAGAAACTAGAGCATAATTGTTGATAGAGTAGGAAGGACAAGTGTTGTTATGACGAGATACTCTCATAGATGTACATTTAGTGATGTTAAGCTCCATGAGCGATTCCTTGCACCATTTGCAGATGTTATTAATATCAAGCTGTAGGGCGGAAATGTCAGAGTCGTTAACTATCTCTTTATAAATTAAACATTCGTCAGCGAATAGACTAATAGAGGAAGAGACATGCACAGGAAGGTCATTGCTATAAATAAGAAATAAGAGTGGTCTGAGGGGCACCGGGGGGGGGGGGGGGGGGAGTTGACAGTTTGACAGGTGAGGGCGAAGAATTAGTGCCATTAGTTCGAACAAATTGGAAGCGCTTCGTTAGGAATGATTTTATCTATGTGAGGACATTGGGATCTATGCTAAGGTTACTAAGTTTATGAAGAAGTAGCTGGTGAGAAACCTTGTCAAAAGCTTTTGAGAAATCCAGGAATATGCAGTCAGTCGTAGAACCCCGGTCTAGAGTGAGGTGAAGATGATGAGTTAATATTAGTAGTTGGGTATCACAGGAAAAAAATTTCGAAAACCATGTTGAGCTGTGCTGAAAAAAGAGTTCGAGTCAAGAAAGTTGTTCCAAAACGCTATGGAAGGTTCATCTGATGTTTTACTCAGTTAAATACGAAACGTCTATGCGGACTCTGAGGTGCGCGCTCGCGCCTTTACCGCTCATTCAGTTCATCTGCTTCGACATGACTTTTTATCGGCTTCAACGCCACACCTCAGCTGTCGCAGTGTTTAACTTTACGGGTAGTGTAGGTGTTTACCAATATTTAATAGTGTGGGTTGTATAAACTTTAATTATCACTTAATATTTGCTTGACAATCAAGTTGGCATTTCTTTTATAAGATCCCATGGTTAGATTGTTTTCTTCAAACTAGTCTGTGATTATTTTGCCCCTTGATTTAGCAGCAAAACCTTGATGTGATGCAGGGGAAATACGGCACATGGATTCCGTTCATGGTCATGATTGTCCTGGCAACCTTGGCCGGCGTATCTTCCATGTGGCTTCCAGAGACCAACGGCTTTGCCCTCTGTCAGACTATGGATGACGCTAACGAGTTTGGCAAGGATCAGAAGTTCTTCTCATTTAACAGGTTGGTGACCGGCGGAGATATTACTGGATTAGAATATTGGTTAATTGCACTTGTTAATGCATTAACCCTTGTGCACATAGGGTTGCATATTTTGCTTTTCAACCAAACCGAATATAGTTTTGGGGCTTTACTTGTCAAATAAACAAAGATAACTTGACACACCACAGCGAAAACCGGGAAATCGACTCAATATTTCGGTGAAATGGTGAAAATTATTACTTGCAAAAAAGGTGAAATTTTACGTAGTGTTAACAATAACTTTCATCGCAGCAGCTACGTTTTTGTTCTATCTCGTAAATGTGGTGGCAATAGTACTCAAAATATTGTGCAAGAGTTGGCCCGAAAAACAATTTATAAGTTTTCTATGTCGTTTAACACCCGAAACTGTTTTCGACTAAAATTTTTTTTTTATTTTTCTGTACCACACTCTTAGGTGTTAAACGGCATAATTAGCTACCACCATCTTGCCTGCGAAAGTTCCTGAAGCAGGCTTATTTCCCTTTTTCATTGAGACGCTTCCTTCTCTGTCTGTCTTTTTTTTTTTTTTATTAAAGTCGTTTGTTTTCTTTTCTGCGCCACATTCTCAGGTGATAAACGACATGATTAGCTACCGCCAGCTCGCCTGCGCGCTTACAGTCGTTTCACTTTTAAGTTTACATTTTACATTTTGATACCGTTGTTTTGATATGTTCTCATACTATTGTACAAGGTGTGATCAAAAAGTTCAGACACTGATTTTATAGCGTAAAAAGAAAAGGCAGCACAGTGATGCGCACGCAGCAGTCGGGGAAGGAATCTTCGTGTCTCGTTATACCAAAGGGCGTCGTTCTGTGAATGTTTGGAGCTGGGCTACACGAGTGTTCGTAACCACGTGAACAGGCACAAATGCGATTTAACCATAGAGTGCAAACCAGAGCGGGAGTGAATACCAAATCTGCGTCGGCCTCGGCAAGTATAAAATTGGTACATTTCAAATAATTCAACAGGTTTGTGTGAAAAAAAAGTGGATTTTGCGAAGTGGTTTTAATTGCACCCGTACTTAGGAACGGCAAAATATCGCTGGAGGTCGAAGACCGGAAAAGCGATTTTATCCGACCGTTCTCCTTGACTTCAGCGACGTTCTGCCATTCCTAATGCGCGAGTGCCATATAAAACACCTTGCACACCTCACTGCTCTTTAACATAAGCTTTATAAATAATTTCAGAGGTCTTTGTTTTAGATTCGCCGAGTTGGACGTAAAATTAATTTTCGCACTCTTAGGGTAACTCGTCGCCAATTCACAATTTCCGGGTCATAATTTTGACATTTTTGTTGAAAATATATATTAAAGCCATGTTCTAGGGAAGAACACTCAGCTATATATGAACGCCTTAACAATGTTTTTTTTTTTTTTTTTTGGTGAAATATAAAATAGAGAAGTTCGAGGTGTGGAGATTGAGAAGATTTTACAATGCTAATTTGTGCAGCGGTCAATTTCTCATCGAAGCTTTCACGTCACCACAAATTTTTTTTAAAACATTTCACAAAATATATCGAACACATAAAGAAAAAATTAGAAATATTAAAAAAACATTTCTTTGCAAAAAAAAAAAAAAAAAAATCAAACATGGCATAGAAACGCGTTTTAGAGACATATTCATAGTATGTTTGCAAATAAAGTCTCATTTAGATACTTCAGAAAACATATAAATATGCTCGTATCTCAATGTTCTTTCCAAATATATAAAGATAACATGCATACTCTTCATTGTCTTCTTGTTATTAATGCGGAAATGCAGCTGATTTCTCGAAATGTGGCAAGATTGGGTGGCAATATTTAAGACTACATCTTTTTTTTTTTTTTTTTAAATCCCCTTGGCAGTTTGAAGTAGCTTGAACTAACTTGTCATTGCAAAACATTGGGTAACATATGACCTCAAAACGGGAAAAGCTACAACAAACCTTTACTCGAAGCGAGCCGACGTCTTCGTTATACCGGCTTTGCCACACAGTACCAAATATTTTGAGCGTTAGTTATGGCATGTATTTTATATCTTTCAAATTCGTTTTGCTTAAAAAGAGGTGAGTAAAACTGACGCGAAAAGGGACTTTGAGCTGGAATACCATTACTTAGCTTAAAATTCACAAAACCAAAATGGTCCCACCCTGGAAATTCCCTAACTATGCATAAGTCGCGCATGTGGCCATGCATATATCCGGCCTCTCTGCATATGATGACTTCAACAGATAAAATACCTGGATTCCTCCCGTATAAGTTCTACGGTGGTCCGCTCTGCTTGCTTCACCGCACGAAACTCTCGAGCCCGTTCCGCAGACAGATGGAACACGCAGACATTTGTCGCTTGTTTACGCTGCACTTCCACGAAGTCTTTAGCGGTGACAATCATTGAATTGAGCAAAGATCTCAAGTTAGTGATCATTGCGTATTTTTTAAAAAACACCACCCACTCAATCACAAGCGCCTTTTCCGTGTCGAGTGGCCGAAAAGATTCATATTTCCGAGACAATTCGTGTAATTGGAAGCGATTCTTGAAATGCGCCACCGCTCCGTCTGATACCAAGATTATTTAAAAAAAGACTGCGCAATGTTCACCGACATACTCTTCTATGGCCTCTGTGGCTGGAGGGTGAGCTGTGTCATGTGTCGTGTCATCGCTGACAAAGGCAAAGTTTTGCGTGCCTTGCATGGACTTAGCCACACACGTGAGGAGATACACTTGAGCTTTTTTTACAATGGAAACTCAGAGCTTCGGTTGGGAAGATTACTGTCAATTTCCGCAAAATCGAAGTGGAACATCACTGCCCTGGGTGGTAAGGCGGTTTTGTGTCACGTATCAGGCTTCGTTCAAGGTCAGGGATGTAAGAATGCCTCATATACTTTTCGCTCCAGGACTCCAGTTCCCCCAGGAAAGCAGAAGGGTCCATAACCTTTTTGACGAGTTCGCCGGCGTCCCTAACGCGAAACACATATCTTCGTCTTCGTCGAGATATCGGGACTGCAACGAGATGGTGTGCATTTTTGGGCACTTTCCACAACGGCACAACGGCGCAGGAAGCAATCGTTTTCTGGAGCGCTGCAGAGGTAGATGCGTTTGAGGTTGCCTTCTGTAAATGTCTTCTTCGAAGTATTTGTCATTGCCGTCGAAATCAATTGAAAATCGAGGCAATACATGCATTCGCGCACATCATGCTCGGGACTCTATTTTTACCAGTTTTTGGTCGTAGGGAATACAATTTGGAGATGCCTTGTTCTCGATGGGGATGGTGCTTCCTAAACAGATGGTTAGCTTCTTTAATAGAGCTGCTCATACACCTTTTTACAACTTTGGTCTTGTTGTCGTTGATCATGGCTTTGACGACGTCTTTTTTGTTGGGGCTTTGAACAGAGCATGCGAGGTCGTCGCGTGCGCAGTACTCAAGCGCAACCCTGTAGTCTTCGGCGTTCGCCTTTTTCCCCAGGTAGGGTTGAGGGGTTGCCCATACACCAATTTTACGCTTCAGTTTTCTTGCTTGATCAATCATGTAGGCAGTCTGTTCTGGCACCAGACGCAATATTTCTTTCTTCGAGATTTTTGGTGGCAGAAGCGTGTACAATCCTTTGCATTCCTGGTGGGAACTGCATGCCTTCAGCTCTTTGCGGAACGCGTTAAACCACTCCGTGCAGTGCTCACGACTGTCTTCACCGGTTTTCACGCCATAAGCGCTTGACAACTTTCTTCTAATTGAAAAACTCACTTGAGCTTGTTTTTTATTCAAATATGCTTCGCACCTTTTTTTTAATGGATTTATGTGGCTCCAGTCGAGTTACCGGCGGACTAGCAGCATACAAGTCTTGACTCACTTCAGCCAGCATTTCATAGAAGTCACGGAAAAAAGGGTGTGATGTACTCACGTTGTAAGAAGAAGCAATCTCATTATAGTGGTATATGTAGGGGTGTTGGTATAAAAGGTCAGATTCATTCACTATCCGTGGAGCCAGTAGCTTTTCTAACCGCACATTGTTGAGCCTCCCTACCGGTACCAGGTTCTTATCGCTATACACTTTCTTCTTGCATCTCTGTAGATAGTCCACACAAAAATATAGCATGGTGCTGAATCGTTGGGCCACGGCTGTTCAGTCTGAAACTGAACTCTTACTCGATTCGTAAGTGACTGAACTTGAAACGTTCTCAGAAACGCCTATTTGAGAGGTTCTGAATTCCTCTCTTCCGTCTCTAATTTTCCGGTCAGAGTTCGGAAAAAAAATGTCCTTGTGAGCACCAACTTCTGTCTTCCCTTGTAGATATAATCGGTGTGTCGCGCACGGTTAAGCTGGTGGTGTTTGTTTATAGTTCCACTAATTGAACAACAAAGACACCGAATCTCCTATAAGCACAGCGTTAGTCAGCCATCTTTTGTTTTGATTCACACTGCGAAAGCTTCCTTTATTGTAAAGATTTTTTTTTTCGTTTTTAGTGTTGGAGCGTAGTTTGCGCGCGTGTGTGTGTGCGTGTGTGTGTGTTTGTGTGTGTGTGTTGGAGAAGGGGGTTACGGCAGTAAAATGGAAAAGGGGATTAGGAGTTCTGTTTCGGTCGGTTCACATAGTGTGGTGAAACTCATCTGTTTAGGTTCTTGGGAGAGGTATTCGTTCCCGTTGCTGTCCTCAACCTTGGAGGGATTTAGCTTGTCTGGCCAAGTTCGGTCAAGTATTTACGGCCCCATGTCTGTCTTTTACTTATTTCTTTTTTCTGTGTGGGCACGCATTTATGGTCGTTCTTTTTGTGAATAAGCTCATCTGCGTTTTAGATTTCGTTTCGCAGTACCAGGTACTTTTTGTTTTTCGTCGTCTCGGGGTTTAGAGTGCAATGTTTCCTAACCAACTGACCTGCATACTTTCTCTTGCAACTATTCTCCCCTTATTTTCCTGTTACTGACTCTTCTCATATTTAGCTTTGAGTTTCAAGGTAATGTGGCCTGCTTAAGATATGTAATTGCCGCCAGCAGTGACGTTCGCAGACGT